CAGTGCTCACGACGTGAACAGTACTGCCACTTCCAAAAATTAGCCAAAACACTAGCTAATTCACGGGATTTTCTCCAAAAATCACACAACAGTCAATTAACACTCAATCACATAAATTCCACTTAAATCAAGCTAAACTATCAAAATTCATCCCCCATTTTCTGCAGAATTTCGAACCTCACAAAGGCAGCACTTAATCAAGCTAATCCTACCTTAATCAAGCTTAAAAACAATGGTTTAAGGCTGCCACATACCAGAATTTCCAGCTGCAGAACCGGACTTGGCAAGGGGAGAAACCGACGGCAGTGCAGGGGAAGCTCACGGGAAACCCAAAATTAAAGGAGCCCAACTTAAATCAAAGCTAAAAGGATGAAATCATGGCTATTTCTTACCCAAAAATCAGAGAAATTCGCCCCCACCAACAAGAGCAGCCGGCGGACAGCAGAGGGAAGAGCAGAGCAGATCCGGAAGCTTCCTGCAGGGGGGGGGATTTCTGGGTCCCAATCTGTGTTTTAGAGCAAGAAAAGAAGGAGAAATCAAGCTTATCTCACCGGTTTCTCAAAGGCTGGTTGGGTTTCTCTTTTTTTTCTTCGGGTGGCTGCAGCGGGAAGAAGAAGAAGAGCAGGCGCGGGTCTGAGGAAGAAAAGAAAGAAAGAAAAAGAAAAAGAAAAGAACTCATCCTTATCCAAATTCTTTTCCCCTTTTAAGTCCCTCAACTTAGCAAATTTTGCTATTAAGCCCCAACATAATATTTTTCCACAATTCAGTCCCTAACTCACTTACTTATTCTAGAAATTTTGAGGTATTTCATATACTCAATTAGATATTTAGGAGTTATTTTTTTAGGAACAACACGAGAAAGCTATTTTATATTTATGGGGAGGGAATTTCTAATTAGGACTCTAGAAAATATGTATTTATCCTTTACTAATTGTGATGTAGGTACAAATATAAAAAAAATAATAATTCAATTAAAAAAAACGTTATCATTTTTTAGATTTTGTTAAACACTTTTGTTATATGTGTTTTTAGTGAGTATTTCTAAAATAAAACCCATCCCATTAACTAAATGAAATATTTTGTTTTCTTATTATTTCTTGAAGAAGGGTGTTTTAGAGTCCTATTCTAAATTTTAATTGTTCCTTAGATGTTGAATAGTCCAAAAGTGTTGCTTTTAAAGTAGACAATGCGTATGGGCTTAACAACAAGGAAACTTAGTCCTTGAAATATCATGATTAAATTAAACAAGAACTGGTATGATTAATTCATACAATGTGTGAAATTAAGTGATGAAAAGCATGATTAAGACATGCAAATCATGACCATTTGATTGAGTGTTCAAAGCTTAAGGTCCATCCGGTAAAATGATCAAAACAATGATAAAGAAGTGGAAATCTTGTTTATGTAATTAATAGTTGTGAACTTTGGATTTTTGAATTATGCAAACATGGTTTTTGGTCGGATTTGAATTATCAAACACATGATCATTTATACATGTTCAATAAACATGTTTCTTCATAAGGTGGATATCTCTTTTGGGACAAATCCAAATACATCTATTCATTGTCTATTTAAAGGAAAGCTCTGTCTTGTTTTGGTCATTCTATTATTTTAGCTATTGCTTCACATTTACATTTTGAGAGAGTTTTGATTTGTTCTATTGTATCATGAGGGCTTCTAAAGCCTTAAGGAAAGAGATTTAGTTTATACCTTAAAACTTTCATTTTTTTTTTTTGTTATTTTCTTGCTCTTATTTTCTAACACTGGAGACTCAAAAAAATTCTATAATGGCTGTTTCTAGTTTATATAAACATATGAGCTTAAAACATCAAGACTGATGATAATAAGTTAAATCTAGTTCTACATGGCCTACAGATGATGCTATAACGGCAATTGACTCAAAATAATGGATGTTAAAATATCATATTTCTCTAATCTTAAAAAATAGAGGCAAATCAACAAAGATTAACATTTCAAATCAAAATTGTAAGGACACGCAGTGTATCTTAATTTGTAGTTAAAAATTATTTTATCTAAATAATTTCTTTTCCATTTGATAAGTAAATTTGTTCATGTTTGTGTACTATTCATTATATCAAAAAAGTTTAATAGAGTCTAATACACTATTAATCGAATAGAAAGTATAATGCAATAAAACTTGAATCAAGAGTTATTTTGTAATAGGTTAAAATATTTCTTGTACACCTTATATTATATATAAAATAAAAACATCTTCTTTGCTATTCAAAGAAAAAAGGTCTAATACACATTAGCAAAGCGTGGGTCTACTTAAATGAATTTGTTAACAATGTCAACAGTCTACGTCTAATAATTCCTTATACCGTAAACTCAACAAGTTCAACTACTTGATTAGGATAATTAGAACTTTGATTCTTTATAAGATGAAATTACAAATGTTTGACTCCTTGTAAATATGTTTTTGAAAATTCTTAAATTTAAATAATCAAGCTAAATTAGATGAGCAGGAGTTAATTTTTCAGAAAGAACAATATAAGAAAATTATTTTATACTTATAGGGAGGGGGTTTTTTAAATAAGATCTACAAAAGGTAAATTTATACCTTATTGATTGTGATGTAAGTATAAATACAAGAAGTTAAAAATTATTTTGTCAATGAATTAAATAATTAAGCTTTATATTATTTTTTTGTTCAAAAGAGTTTGTTGTTATATAACTTCAAGTTCTAGAGTTATATAAATACCAACATAAAGTTTTTAGAGTTATTTTATGAACTAATAAATTAGGAGTTACAAGAAATTAACTTGTTTGTAGAAATTTTAATTTCATGTAACGTTTATATGCAGTAATAACTTCAAGTTTTCAAGTTATATAAATACCAATTCTAATTTGATGTGCTTAGGCTCTCTACCATCTAAACAAAGAATTCACCATCTCGTAAATCATGACAAGCATCAAAGTTTTCTCAACTTTGTTAGTTTTGGTTATGGCAAGTGAAGTAGTCATAGCTAATGTAGACATCGAGAATTACCTTATCAAAAAACATGGGTGTGAAAGCAAGATGCATGTAAAATGCGTCAAGCAGGTATTTTCAAGCATATTTAAAGTTGGAACCGTCACAGACAGTTGTTGTTATGAGCTTGCAAAGTCAGGTCCACTTTGCCATTTTGCATTGGCTGATAGAACTCTTCAAACTGAATTTAAAAGTTCTAATGCTTTTCAAATTTTGGTTAAAAGTACACATGTGTGGAGTAGGTGCCTTGCACTTTCATCACAATTAGACCAAGAAAAAATTTCAATACTAACTCCTCCACCTGTTTAAAGCTAGTTTGGCATATGTTAAACAAAAATAAATAATTCAAATTAATAAAACTTTATTGATATTTAGATTTTCTTCAACCCTTGTGTTATATGTGTTTTCAGTGTCTATTTCTACCACAAAACTCATGCTATTAACAAAATGTTACATTCTATTCTCTTATTATTTGTAAATAAATTGCACTTTAGAGCACTATTGCATATTTTTATGACATTTAGAGGACCCAAACAAATTCCATAGAGATTGTTTTTAGTTTTATCCAAATATATGAGCTTAAAGCACCACGATCTGTAATAACAAATTTAACCTAATTCTACATAGCCTGCTAGTGCTGTTATATATCCAATTGACCCAAGAAAAACCCATATTAAACATCAAATTTCTCTAATCTAAAAAAAATAAAAAGCAAGTTCAAATCAATAAAGATAAACATTTCCAATCAAAACTGTGTGCATGATGTGGACACTAACTACATTTTAATTTCTAATTAAGTATTATTTTAAGTAAATAATTTCTTTTTTATTTGGTGAGTAAATTTGTCCATGTTTGCATACTTTTCACAACATCAGAAGAGTTTAATAGAATCTAGTACACTATTGATCAAATGGCGTATAAAGTAATGTCACTTGTAATCAAAAGTTATTTTGTAACAGGTTAGAATGCTTGTTGTACACTTCATATTATATATAATAAAAATGATTTCTTTTGTTGTTAAAAAAAAAGTCTAGTACACATTAACAAAGCATGGGTCCATTTAATTGGGTTCATTAGCCATGGCAATAGTCTACATCTAATTATTCCTTACATTGTAAACTCAGACAAGTTCAAGTACTTGATTAGGAAAATTAGAACTTTAAGTCTTTATAAATTTTAAAACGTTTGACTCTTTGTAAATATATTTTTTTTGAAAATTTTTATGTTCAAATAGTCAAGTTGAAGAAGATGAGTTCGAGTAAGTTTTTTTTCAACAAAACAAAAAGATTTTTTTTTTAATATGAACAAAGTGTTTATTTGTTGGATCTCCAAAAAAATTAGGAGGAAAAACCCTAAAACTATGTCTTTCAATAAACTCCCACCAAAAAAAATATAATTTATTCTCAGGTAAGAATAAGATTGTTTTAGTATTTTTCCTCAGTGATTAATTAAAATATCATAGTTTTATAATGTATTTCCTTCTACATTTTAGAGGTTGGACTAATAAACACTAATATAAAATTTATGGGACTCTAAAAAGGTGAATTTATATCTTACTAATTATGATGTAGGTTTAAGTACAATCACTATTGCAGAAGATGGATATTCGGACCGACAAAACGGTTTGAATATCATCCAAATCAATCCGAAATACATATATACAGGCTGAAATTGATCCATATAGTTGGTCCGAATATATGTGGCACGAAAAAATATATATCCAGATCGATAAAAAATTAGTCCATGTAATTAAACTATACACACCAAAAATGGTCCGAATATTTTTAGTGAAAAATCTCAACTCATATTTTAAATTAAAATAAACGGACCATGAACAGTCTGGAAACTAAAAAATTAATAAAATATTAACATAACTTCGGACCAAAATCAATCTGAATATTTAAAAGAAAAAAATGGTAGTTGTATGGGAAAATATATTTGGACCAACTTTGGTCTGAATATATATGTCCTTATTTACAAGGATTAAAAATTAGGAGCCTATATGGCTGCCCTACTAAAGTATATTTAGACCGCTGTCGGCCCGAATATATTGGACTCAATAGCAACTTTTAAATATTCTAGTGCCAATGTGTTCATTATTCTAAAATTTATCCAAACTGTTAACGGTTCGAATACATTGGACTCAGATGCAAAATTTTAAAACTCTAGTGCCTATGTTGTCATCATATTAAAGTATATACAGATCGAAAATGGAATCCTTTGCTAGGATTATTCAAACCGATTATGGTCTGAAATAAAAGCTTTTAACCAAAAAAAAAAAGAAAAAGAAAAAGAAAAAAAAATAAAATAGAATATATTTATTTTACTCACTAATTACATAATGTTTCCAAAAGCAAAAATATATTATTCAAATTAGAATATATACATGCTTATAAAGGGAAAAAAATACTTTTGTACAAATTACTTAATATAATAATTAAAAACATGTAAAATATTAATTACATTAAATTTAATACATGCAACAAATAAAAATAAATTTCAATCTTATATAATGTTCTAAATTATAATAATTACATAAAAAGAACTAAATACCTAATATTTTGATTTTAGTTAAATTAAAAATTCAAATATACAACATATAAAAATAAATGAGAATATAATATAATATTGCTAATTTAAAAGAAAAAAGTTAAGAACAAAAATTATAATTGTAAATAAAGAATAAAAGAGACATATATATATTAACTACAACAAAATATAAGTAAAAAATAAATAATACATAGCACAAATTACAACAAAATAAGGAAAAATATTTATTAAATCATTACCTATATAACTCATTGACTTGTAATTTTCCTCATTTTCTACAAAAAAAAAAAAAGAAACAAAATAAATATAAATATAAAAAAATTGGAAAAAGTATTAAAATAAACATATATAAATAAGAAAAAATTCAAGATTCACCAAATTTTCAAAATATGTAACCTACAAAAAAAAAAAGGGAGAAAAAGTTAGTAAACAAATTATAAACATAAATAATGAAAATGGAATAAACATAAATAATGTAACTTACCAAATTCTAAAAAAATTCATAAAATGCTTATGGAAGAAAATAAAAAGAAAAAGGAGAGTGGAATAAAAAAGATGGTAGAACACAAAAAAATCAAAGGGAAAGAAGCTTGATAGAATGAAAA